ACTGGCTAAAGAACTGTAAATAACAGGTAGTGGTAAATGGCAGCATGTCAGGTGCTGGTAAAGTTTCTAGCCAAAGACTGCTGAGGTTCATTTTAGGGCTAGTTTTGATCTGATAGGGAGGCAGTAGGGAGCCTTCTTTTGGAAAGTGCAGCCTCTTTTCCTGATATGCCAGGCTACTTGTGGGTCAGTGTGGGATGGGGCAGATTAATTGTTTGGGTTTTGTGGAGACTCACAAGAGGTGAAGGGGAAGCTTCATGGTTGTCACGTATGCACATCCATGGGCCAATCTGACCCTAAGAGAAGGGAGAATAGTTATTCTGGTGATAAAGAAGGGTCTAATGTCACTAGGGACAATTAAAACTAAACTAGGGAAAGCAGTAGGAAATGATCTGACAAGAAGAGTTCCATGTGTACTAGATGATTTCATAGGCTTTCTCCTTCTTTCTTCCTCTGCCCCTCCCCCCCCCCGCCCCCAAAATAATCCTTGGAATTTTCTTCCAAAGTCTATTTGTCTGGGCTTCATTCTCACCCCATCCAATGTCTTCCAAAAGGCCTGCAGCACTGCTTATGAAAAACAAGTACATTTACACTCCAAAAAGCCCTTGAATCGTCATGGTATGTATGCATGCCTAACTGAGTATCCCTACCATCACATCATTGTCATTAGTGTTCTTCTCTCCTACTGTTCCTGGGAGAGATTACATCTGCATCTGACTGTCAGGTTTATCTAAACAAGTCAGGACAGGCACCTGTCATTTTTCTTTTGTATTTTCATGCAACATCTAACATCTGTGAGTGCTGTTGAATCATGGTGATTTTTTTGCTGTAAAACCATGGGAGCCCTTCATGCATCTCTGATTGATTGATTGATTGATTGATTGATTGATTGGGTTTTTTTGTTTTTGTTTTTAGTTCCACTTGCTAATCCCAAACCACCAGAAAGCCTTCCAAAAATTTTACAGGAACAGATCTCCTTTAACCATCAGTACAATTCCAGAGTAACTCCTAATGAACCCATTCGAGGAAAGGTAAGACCATGTGCATCCTGTATGATTAATAGCGAACAGGAAGCTGGAGGTTTAAGTTTATTCCAGCACTTCCGACAAACAGGTTTAAAACCAAGAGCTATTGTCACATACCTTAGAATTGCCAGGGTTGAAGATATGCTTTTTAATATTACTTCACATGTCATGTTTTTTGTTTGCATGCATTTATTTGGCTTCCTGTAGCTTTAGTGACTGATTACAAAAAAAAAAAAAAATCCTAATGATATAATTCTCACTAGTTTGGTTCTCCAGTGACTGACTATGCTCATTTACACTCAAGGTAAGTGGAGCAGGAATGGCCTGGAGAAGATAAGAGCCAGATTCAGTGTGTATTTTGAAGTCACTTCCTTAAATATTTGTTCCAAACCGTTGACAGTTTTTGTATAGTAGGAATTTGGGTTTATAAGTATACATGTGGATAAGAATCGGTGTGTCTTCTGAGTCGGTGTTGACATATGTAATGTGGGAGACCGATCCAGTAGCTGTGAATCAGGCCCAAAGTGCAGAATCCAATTGTCAGAAGCATTTTGAAGAAGACAGCCTTGTGTTTGTTTTCACTTCTGCTTATTAAAAAGGGGGGAAAAAAATCTTGTGTGACCCTGGTGGACCAAATCATTTGGGATGCAGTCATAAATCTCCAGGCCCACAAAAGCAGCCGTTTAGAATTGTATCCATAGCAACCCATGTAGCAAGAAATGAAATCTGATATGAATAGACTCGCACTGGAGAGCCGTAGGCTGGTCACACACTCTGAGAGGCATAATGGTTGTGAACCAGAGAAAATAAGATGCATTTTCTTTTGCTTGTTGCTCCTTTCTGAATATTCCTGCCGTGCCCCATTTCATGAATAAAATAGGCTGACAGACCAGCCATTATTCCAGGTCCAGCTTTCAGCTATTAGGACGTAGGCTGATGGCCAGTAGAGAGGCCGAGAAACAAGTGAATGCCTTGCCAGCACTTGAGCTAATAAATGAACTCAGCTCACAGCTGCATCTACTAGCCGCTTATGTTCCTCTGGTTAACGTCAACCTTGTTTCCCTTTCCAGCGACATGGAGCTTTTGTGTGGACAGAGATAAAACCAGAGAGTGGGCCGATAGTTCCTAAGGGAACAGAAGTATTCCAGAGTGCTAGAGGGTCACGCTCACTAGGACAGCCAAAAACAGAGAAAGGAAACTCAGTGGAAAGCCGAATGACCTCACCCAGTTACTGCCTGCAGAATTCCCGGGGGCCACTAGGCTCTGAAACTCGCTTATCAAAACCAGACGTCAGAGCAGCAGCCAAAGCCTGCCCCAGCATTCCTGCAAGAGGACGGAGGAGTTCAAGCATTTCTCAGACAACGGAGGTGAATGTTATCCATCCTGCTAGGGAGGAGCCTTTATGCCCAATACTGAAAAATCCCATCAACAAATCTCTGCATAAGTTACCTACTGCAAATAAAACCACACAGTCAGTTTTATTACCACCAGCCACTGAATTAAGGAGAGCCTAGAATCACTACACCAGCCAGTGTTCTTGCCTAGGCTAATATCAATAACACCAAACACAAGCTGACACCAGTGAACTGCTAGAGTGCAAACAATACTCCTTTGACATAACAACAGCTGCACTGTACTTTGATGTTTCTAGAAAACTGTACGCTCATAAGAACTTTTTTATTTTTTTTTACAGTGGAATTTCATTGCCTTCGTAACGTGAACTTAATGGTTTGGATTGTTTGCATGCTTTTTGTCCCCAATTTGACTTTGAATGACTTTAACACTTTCAGGGCTGGAGGTGACTATGATTCTTCAAAATGTATTTATTTTTACAAGAATAGAAGCACCAGGCTTTGGTTTTGGTTTTCTTGTTGCTGCTTTTAACATATACAGTTGTGATATGTGTTATCTGTTTGCTGCTGCCCCATAGAGCATGATTTCACACACCATATGGTGTCAGCTTGTCATAAATGGCAGCTATTGTTGCTTCCGTAGGAAACAATGACAGCCAAGAGGGACAATTTGCTGCAGCCTACAGGAATGCAAAAATAAGTGTCACTACTCTATACAGCTAACAAGGACAAATTTGGAATGAACCTTTTTTCAAGGACATTGATATTTTCCTATGAGCTCTAGCTTCTTTTTTAGTCCAGATAAACTGTTAGTCCAGCGACTGATGAGCAAACTTTTACTGAAGTTTGAAATATATTGGAACATTTGGAAAAGATTTCTGGAATATATTCCCCAGCACCCTGCTTTGTTATTGTCACAGGAAACGCCCCCACCTACTCTTTGTCTCAGGGAAACTCAGAAAGTTTCAACTCCAGTTATGAAGCAGCTTTTCGTCAAAGAGATAAAGCAAGTTATTACCTGCGGTTCTTGAACTTGATCCACTAGTGTGCTGGAGAGGTTAATGTATGCATTTCACAGCAGTGAGAAAAATGGGAGTTTGATTTCCTGCTTGCTATATTGAGTAAGACATTACAACCACTGTAGCTGCAAGCATGCTACATGTTCTTTTGTCAAAGGCCATTAACAGAGCCAAGGGAAGTTTTCAGAGTTTCTTTAGAACTTATTTTGAGAGACTTTCTACCTAGTTTTGTCAGGTCCTCCTTACTGGAGCTAAAAATGAAAAAAACCCTCGGACACACTTAGTCACATTGTGCTGATTATTTGTTCTGCTTCAGACGACAGTAACATTTCTTAAATTACTCTAGAGGCCAATTTTGGCTTTTTGGATATGCAAACTCAGATTGCACTGATGTAAGAAGGAGCCACAGGCCATATCTGAGAGTAATCTGCCTCTTTATTTTAGTGTACGCACTAGTTATACTAATTACATGTAACTCTGTTTCTACCAACGTTTCAACGCTGAAGCACTTTGATATTTGTAAATATGGATATGACCAAAACTGTCAGAACTGTGTCTTTTGTAATATAGTTTTCCTTTTTGTCTTCTAATTTTATTCATTAAACTTTTGACCAGCATGTGTGAGAGAGTGAAGTCTGTTAGAACTGTACAGTTGGCAAAAAACTGAAGTATTTTGCAAAAAGGCTAATATCTATGTTAAACTTAAAAGCCCAGCTTCCAGAAGACTGGATGTCCTTTATGGCTGCTAGTGGGCTGTCACTACAAAGCCATGCCCAGCCTCAGGAGGACTGTATATCAGGCAAGGTAAATATCACCAGAGTCAGAGATATTTTTATATCCAGTCATAACATGTTGTCCATGATACTAAGACACGGGCTTTTCATGCCAGAATAAACTATCAAGATGGATACCATGGTACAAAATAACATGTACATTAAATTATCCAAGTGCATGGTGTATGCAGCTGTCCTTAAAGTCACAGGAATGATTATCACTACCTTCAGTAGAAGTTGGACCATGTCGTCTGAGAGCTTGCAATTTAAAATGATAAAAAAATGGATGGTGAGCGAGGGAATGGGATACCCTGTACAAACATAGAATTGATTCTTTAAGATTTGAAAATTACTAGTACTTCTTGATACTGGTCATATTTTAATGTCATAGGGCCAGACTGCGCAGACCTTTCTGCATGTAAATACTTTTTCCCCTTTTTTGTGCATGGAGGATCTTATTAACAGACCAGGGATTGGGAAGTCCACTCCTGGGCATCTGAATCATTAGTTCATTCTCCTTTTCAGCCTGTCCATTCAGTTTCTCCTGCTTCCAGTATCTCCGCCTTCCACCAAGGTTATTTTGTCATCCCATCTTGAGGAAAAGATAACTTAAAGGACCACAGAAAAAGTTGTTCACAACTTTAAATCCTTACTGGCAATATAGATTTCATGGATTGGGTCTTCCACGTAGATGATGTCATACTTTCATGATGCTTCTGAATCAAAATAATTGGCCAGAGTAACGTGCTGGTTGTTGATCTTGCCCAAAGCTCTCTTGTAGATCAGTTCATTTGTAGATTTTAGATTTGTATAATCTCATACAAGGTACATTTCAGCAATCTGGACACGTTAATTGAAGCTTTTTTAAAGTAACTGGTATACCATTGAAGATCTGATGCAGATAAAGAAGCTGTAATATTTTGTGGGGCTAAGGCCATTGCTATCTGATTACACAGGGCAATATGGTTCAGCTAGTACATAACAGTTGCCAGATTTCTGGGCTATTAGGGCATATGAATTTAATGTCCGTACATCTGACTACATTCATTGCAGTAGATGTAAGCTCTTACATAGCTGAGTTTTCTTTGCTCCTTGTGAAATTTCTTTTGAAACAACAGCTTCCTGAGATGCTTAAGTCTTTTATATCTTTTAAAAGAATTGGAAACTGATCGCACCTTCTTTGCTACCCATAGCACAGAGCAGTGAATTATGTGCAACTGTTTACAAGATCAAATCCATATTTCCTAACTAATATATGTTGCATGCACAGCAGTTCTACACAATTCACATATAGCAGTTGAGCCAGAAGTATGTATTTTTAATGAGTAGTTCACTAAAATACCAGAGCACATATATTTTATTCCTTTTCATGAATTCTTGAGGCTCAGATCTGCCTTTTGATTATGTTCTACTTGTTCTAAGCCTCTCTTGTTGATTGGTTGTGGATTGTGCCTTTGATTGTGTTCAATTTGAGACTTTTACTGAAGGAGTAGATTTTATTTTCTGTGCACTGCACACTTGTTTCTGTAGCAAATTTCTTGTTCATATTAAGGATGCTTTTTATTTGCATCTATATTAATGAATGCATTTTATAGGCGTTGTACATACTGTTGGAAACACAATCTTATTTGGAAATTGTCCTTACATTAAGTGCATTGAAATATTTTGAATATATGTATTATTTCCTTCAAAGTGACCTCACTGCTATTCATGTCATAGGGCAATAGACAAATGTTTCTAGAAAAGGCCATCTTCCGGCTAAGATGTCTAAATATACCAGCCCATGATTTGTTAGAAGTAGACTCCTTCCTGAGACTTTGGTGAGCAGAGAGAGTAAATTATGTGCATATAGAGATATAAATCTCACTGAAAAAACTGTTATTTTAGTACAAGACTTTTCAACAGTCTGACAGTGTGACAGAGCTTGGCTTGCTCCTTGATGGTGAGATGGTATTTCAGTGGCAACAGCCATACACCAGCTTAAAAAGGCAGTATTTAGCTCTGTGGCACCAGAACAAAAGGTTAGTTTGAATAAAAATGGGAATCATCTGTTTGTCAAAATACCCACTGCAACAGACCAGGTCTGACATGGGGTGATTTTACTTAATGCACTGAGCTTGCTTCCATTTAAGCCAATGGCAAAACTCACATTGACTTCAATGGATGTAACTTTGTAGACCAGCAGTCGACAACGGTGGGCCAGAATGGTCAAGCTGCTAAGAGCCAGTAGCCACTACACTGCTTCTCCCTGCCATTGCTTCTCTGGGTTGACTGGCTATGGCATTTACAGTAGTATAAAATGTAGAAAGAAATATACCGCACTGTGCATAATGTTGAAAAATGCTACCATGCTGTTTGCTTGACAGTACCCTGAATGTCAGTGTGTAGTCTCTGTATTGTGTATCTTCTATGCACATGCACATTCCTGTTAGACTTTTCCCCCCCCCCTTGGCTGTTTACTGGGTGACAAAAATCCTTCCACCCAGTACAGGGCTTGCATACTGCTGGTTAGGGGCAGATGGAAGGGAAGGAATGCTCCCCATATGGAGGAGTTGCATAGCCACTCCATGTCTATTACTGTTGCCATAGAGCAGGGGTGTCAAAGTCATCTCATGTCCCAGGCTGCACCCTGGTGCTGAAGGTGGATCATTGAAAGGTGGATCCAGCCCAGGGTACAGGGTGGCAGCTCTGGCCTAGCGCAATGAGATGGCATCACCTTTGGCTCCAAATGGCTGCTGGGCACCAGGACTGTATCAGCCTTTGCTCACTGCCATGCTGCCGACTCTCACATTGCCCATGATAACCCTGCAGGCTGGACAAGAGTAGCTCAGTGGGCTGAATACAGCTTCTGAGCCTTACATTGACATTTGACATCCCTGCCATATGTAGGGCATGGCCTAAACACGCTTCCTACCCTGCCCTTTGCCTGTGTGCTGATGCTCAGGAAGGCCATTGCTGAAGGGCACATCTCAGCCCACAATGGACCAACAGGAAAGAAGCCTGCCAGGGGATTCTCATTCCTGAGCCCTCTTCCTTAGATTTTAATGTGGAGAGTGTGCATGGAAATGACCTGGCCCCAGGCCATTCAGTTAATGAGTGCATCTGCAGTACCAGGGCTTTGCTTTATGTTTTAAATGAGACACTTCCTAAGGAACCAGAGTGTCAAAATAGGGAGGGGGGTTGGAATAAGGGAGAAGGACATCTTGAAAGCCCATGCTGACATTTAGGGGATATTCACAGAAAATACAAATCTACAAGAGTTCCCAAAGCCACTGCTCAGAATCTGCACTTGAATCTCTAATATGTGCAGTGACTTTTTATAGCATTTGGAGGTATTGTGAGGAGCTCTACCATGAGGAATCACTTTGGAAGCCGTTCCAGTCTATCTGGGTCATTGATCTGTGAACTAAAAATGCTTCCAGGCAGCAGCAGTGAGAAGATAAAAGGAGTCGTCAAGTTCTCACAGGTCAACGGCCTCCACTTGAATCACCCATGATAGTATGGCGATGGGAGTGCAACCAGACTCCTTGCATCAATGGGGATGGCTGCACCTTGCAGGTGTGGGGAAGGCATTCATGGGGACAGGCCAGGTAGCATTTCATCTCCACCCTCCCAGTGGATCCAAGTAAGGCACAGTGGTTTTGCTGTGAGTCCAACCTGGGCTTGTGCAGCTTAGGGACAGAGAACAAGAAAATAAATGAGCAAATGTTGACCCAAACTCCAGCTTTAACTCTACTGTCCTTTTTAAGGGGGGTTTCTGTTTTTCCACATCTCTGATGCCACTCGAGAGCCTGCTTACTTAGGCAGTTAATTAGATCTGTTTGCATCAGATAATATAACTTTCTAAACTGGAAGATTTCTTTGGGGGCGCTAAAAAGATGTTGGACAGAATAGAATGTGTGGCTATACCATAGCTCCAGTTATTGCCTCCACCCTCTGCTTTCCTAAAAGCCCTGCAGAACCTCTCTAGTGGAGCACAAGGGAGGCATTGCCCCAGAGAAGTGCACATTCCCCCTCCCAGGGACAGATGGGCCTCCTGGGCTCTGGAGAGATTGATAGCTCTACTTGGGCTCTGTTAGCAGAGGCAGTGCTGATGTGGAGGAAAAATAACTCCCACAGCCCCTGTGATTGCAGCCCACCCCAATACCATTGCCGACTGCTAGTGTTGAACTGGCAGCCTGCAGGAGCCTGCTGAAAGGGATTTTGTACTGAAATAACCTCTGTTATGTGGCAGACTTCCAGCACCAAGGGCCCCTGTGTTCTAGTCTGATTGGTGGAAAGCAGCATAAACCTACAGTGAACTTAGCTTACAGTGAGTATAGTCCAGCCACGAAATGGGGAAGGACTCAGTGAGGCCTTGTTGAAATGCCTAGCAGCTCTCTGCTCATTGGGAAACACAGTGAAGGTTTTACATGACCTCCCCTGTGTCCCTCCCCTAGACACTCAAAGGAAAAATGAAGCAGCTATCATTAAGATTGGGGATTTCTTTTCCCCAAAAAGTACATTTTTGTACTACACTATTCAATTCTAGGAAAAACTTACTAGGAAACTGGACAGTCTTCCCTCCCTGTCTCTGTTTTAAATGTAGCTCAGGATGGGAGTTAGAAGTCATTCCTATCTGTGTTTGCATCACTGTGATGTAAGTTAATAGTCTTGGTGCAATTCCCACTGGACAAGTGTCTACCTATTAAGTGCACTGTTCTTGTTGGCATTTTCAAAAAGGAGGAAAGGATTTCCTGGGCTATGGAAAGGGAACTACCCTCCCTATCCCAGAGGTCATCCTTCCAGGTTACAGTTGAAGGACACTGACAAAGCAAGGTGGAGAAGGAATGCACTGCTACCCATGGATCAACTGTTCTGTTGATAAAATAGAGGGTCTCAGTCCCTAGAGATCTTCAATGTCCAGTAAACACCACGTAAGGAAAATACAAATTCGCTTTGTTGTGTCAGCACTTCTTAATGTTAATTTAATAGAGATTATGAGATGACTTTTTCTTTCCTGGACTAGCGAATCTCTGGAATCTCCCCAAACAACCCGAATCAACAGCAGTAATCGCAGTCAATGAAACTACCTCTGATCAGGCAAAGAGATGTTCTACTGAATTCAGCGGAGAAGTCATTCATGACAACAACAGATGTTTCTGATTTCACTCCCAGGACAAATTCAAGCATCACTTTTTCTTTCCTTCTCCCAAAACAGCTGAAATCTGGTATGTGGTATACTACCAAGAAGGAGCTAACTAGCAAAGATGTGAATTGCTGCCTCCTCTCAGGTTTTGTTTTTCAAAACTGTGATGTCAGGAGGTGCTCGGGCCCCTTGCGGCTTGGAACAGCTGCAGGCTGTCAGCTGATGATAGGGTGCCTGGCGGGGAGGCTGGGGGCCGGCTGCAAGTGAGAACCCACTAATGAAGGAAAACCCAGAGTGAAAACTTGCTCTTCTCTCAGTATCTGGAGGAAGACAGCTGGCTTTGGTTTGTTGGTGAAGCCAGGTGATTGTGGAGATAAGATAGCTCCATGTAAAATGGACTGGTCTGAGTACTGGAAAACTAGAGCTGGCTCACCTACCTAAGGCAGCAGGGTAAGTGACCTCCATTATATGTGGCATTGGGCCCATACTTACAAGTAGGCCCGGCAGCTTATTAGGAGTGTGATCAAGCCCTATCACAGGACTGTGATTTTCCCCTGCACTACATGCTAGCTAGTTTGTGGAGGGAAGGATTCCACAGACATGGTAGGATGTAGTGTCAACCTGATGGGCATGTATCCACAAACCTTTGCTCTGTAGTAATGAGTGATGGGAGGCTGCCACTTAAAGCTCTCTGCCTGCTTTCAGCCTTGTAGGCACATGAGTTTAGGGTAGAGTGATAGTTCTGAAACTGTGGTCCGTGAAGGCTACTATTCTGGATGCAATTGCTGTAGTTGTAAGTCCGAGGGAGAGTGGCTTGTCCAATCACAAATGTTAGGGGAAGCGTCTATGAAACATTTCCTATTAAACTGTGGTCCTAACCATGGGAAATATTTGGGATCTTTTGATGATGATACCGAAAACACATTTGACCAGGTTAGTTAATGTACAAAAGCTCAAACTGGCAACTCTTAAACAAGCAATCCCACTGAATAAGAATCCTCCCACAATCCTGTCCGGTTCTTTCTGGGCTTGTTGAGTCCCACATATGTCACCATAACATTAAAAAAAAATTGTGAGACAATGTAGTCACTAGCTAAGGGAACTGGACCACGTTCTGTTCTCGGGCCTAGGACTGATCTGTTGACTCTCGTCAGTACTTTCGTGGAGTTCTCGTTGACTGAGCTGTCTTTAAAGGCTCTGGGGCAGCGACTGTTTGCGTATATTTGTACAGTATGCAGCAGCATGGGGGCCTGATCTGAAAAACAGGTAACAGGAAAAGGTTTCAAGGTAGTGACCACATTATGCGTGAAAATGTGTATGTTCTCAGGATGAACAAGGCAGTGACTGTGCTGCAGAAGAGTTACAGCACTCAACTATTGGCAGAATGACAAAGTACAACACAGGAAATTTAAATGGATAGTGTCCCAATGAGCAGTGAGAATCTGAATAACTGCTGGATAAGAAGAAAAATCTCATTCTGCTATTTTCCTGTACCTGCCAAAGCTCTTCACAACTCTGCTCTTCTTGCTTCGTAGCACTAAA